TCTGGCCAAACTTAATGTCAGCCAGCATTACGATGATTGCAAATCCTAAATCAGGCCAAAATTTTGAAAATTATCATTTTATATATTTTATATGATTTCATTATTTAAAAGTGATCAAAATCTTCAAACTCAGAAAATCTATCGTCTTTAAAATCAACGCGTTAATGCTTGCTCAGTTAATATTTAATACTGTACATATATCAGCGATCGTTAGTAACTTCACGATACCTAATGGAGTATATTTCCGTTCTCAGGCATTCCATCCTCCAAAAAAACTTTACCAGCAAATGTTTACGTGCTTTCCAGCTGGATTCAGATGCTGCTATACTAATTGAGTTCAAATTCGCTGAGGGTTCTTTCCTTATAGTTGAGAATGCTACCAACGCTGTTGTCGAGTAGTATTGTTCTGAAATGACGTCAAAAGTTCTAACTTCAAAGAAAATTGACGCGTAAATTTTAGCATTTCAAAGCTTGGTGAAATTTTCTAAGACGTATACGCATCTAGATCATTATTCATGCTCGAAGAGAATATAAGTGAAATTTCTAAAGAGAATTCGAAAAAGGCGGAGCCTGTGTTATTGAAGAATTATATGGAAAGAGCATTTTTAACTATATCGGACATGTAGGTCAGTTAAATTCCATTTGTTGCTCTTTGATCGTTATATCCAAAGGACTATTTACGATTATATATTTCAATTTGTAATTAGATACACTATATGCGGTAATATCCTGTGAGTATCATTCCGAGAAACGGTCATCAATTTATTTCCGTATATACTAAATTTGCATTTATATGAAAAAGGTTTTTGATAGGAATGGTAATTTTTTTTTCCTTCCTCGAACAATCACCATCACAACTGTTATTATTAAATCACCGAGAGCAACCCGAAACTTACTCCATCGGTTTGATCAGATAAATATGAAAATGAAGCCAAAGAACAAAGACTGGCATGGTATTTGTTATGGGCGCTTGATACAAATAATATTCAATATATTTTATTATAATTCCTAATTTACAGGGAAATCAGTAAATGTGAGCGTGCTTATTTTGAAACAGTTAAGCGTCGATATACACATCAGGTCATAAAAATTATGTACCTAGTATGATTGGCGCGCCTTTTAAGATGATGTTAGAATATTGGTTAGTGAAACAATTCGTATACAAAATACAATATTTCCATTACCACTTTAATGAAATTGACATTAAAATTTTCATACTTTAGGTCATCTGCTAGGAAAGGTGAATTTGAAATAGGATTTGAGAGATACGATCAAACATGTGAATATTCCTTTGATGGTTGACTTCCAAATTATCAAAACGAGTATAAAGATTATTCCTGAATTAGTACTTCAAGTAACTAATGAATCCACGATTCTTTACTTTGAACGCTCTTTTAATTATTATTCTTGGAAAAGGGTCATCCGTTGTGGGTTTAAGGTAGCCAATC